TCTCCATAACAGTTGCAATAGGTATTTGAATAAAACTTAATCACTATACAACCTTAGAAATTAATATGTTCTATTTCATAGTTAACATGTTTCAAATTAACAACTTCTTGTCTCCATAACTTGTGGGATGAAGGGAAGGAATATTTAATATCAAACTAACTCACCATTGCCTCCTTGATTGATTTTTTGACTTTGCAATGGTAGACACCAAGCCTCCCTTATTAAGAGCTTTTACACAATATGGGAATGATAGAAAATCCTTATCTTTCTAGGTTTCAAATGAAAGGGTATTAAAGTCATTTCATAAAATTTTAAAATTCTTCTTTGGGTCATGTGATCTAATTAAGGTTTTGACAGATTCAATAAACTAAATAAGGAATTAGGTTATTTGTAACACCCCGAATTTTCTAACTCAAGGTGAACAGAAAAGAGAAAATTCATTAAAATTATTTAATGGCCAAATAAAATTGGGAAAAATTATGAAACATTGATTTTCAGGGTTTAGAGATATTTTGGAAAAGTTATTTCCCCAAAAATGGCTTAAATAATTTTAATAGATAATTCCAAGAGAAAAATGGTTTATTTTCTCAGAAAATTATGGAAAAATACTTAGAGATTTTTATTTAATCTAAAAATTTTAGAATAATCATTTGAGATGGCAAAGAAGGTATTGGAGGCATAAAATTCTTAAAATGAATTAAGGATTAATAGCTGGAATTAAGGGCTATTTTCTTGGAAAATTCAGGAAAAATAGTTGGGAGATAATTTTTGGCCTAAAATTTTTATGAAAATTATTTTAAGGGTCACAAAAGCTAATGGATAAGGAAAATCCATATAAAACATGGTTGAATAATTTTGTGTTTATTCTCTAAGTTCAGAAAAATACAGAAAGGATCAAAGTGAAGATAAGGTTTATAGTGAAGGACAAAATGGTCAAGACAATAAGCCACACGCACACCGACGTGTTACCGTCTCCATTTATTCTTCAATGACTCACTCTCTGATCATTTTATCATTTGCACACTAAGAGAAAATCAGAAAAAAGAGAGGGAGAGACCGAGAGCAACAAAGAGACGGAGGTAGGTGATCGGTAGCAAGATTCTTGCATGCAAATAGAGTTTCAGAATCAGGTGAGCCCTTTGATCATCATTCTACTCTTCTTTCTTTGGTTTGTATGTGTTTTAAAGAGTTAATGATGAAAGAAGTTTGGGTTCTAGTGAGAGAAAGTTAAGAAAAGGAGAAAAGATCGGTGAATTCATGTCTTATGACAAGAATGAGGTATATGATGTTGGTTTTTCAGCTTGCATGTCAAATTTTAGCTCTTGTTAGAGGGTAGCTGAATAGGGGGTCAAGGTTCTGCAAGTTTGAGTTACGTTATTGCATGCCTTCCTTCTTGCCTCTTTCGTGAGAATCTGAACCATTGTATGTGTTTTCTGGTTCATAGGTGTCAGATTCATAGAGCCAAATAAGGAAAATTGAAACTAATATTTATGTGCGTATATGTATATATAATATTGCATGTTATTGTTGCCTCTGTTTCATGAATTCCTGAACAGAGCATGCTATTTCAGGGTTGATAAGCATCGGGTTTGAGGTATTAAGAGAGAGGAAGCATGTAATATATGAATATGAAGTTGTATGTTGATTCTTACTCTATTTTATGCATACAAAGATGGGTCGTTAGTTTCTTGAAGCTGCTGTGTTAGTTTTAGGATAACTGAGGAAAATAAAATGCTTAAATGCTAGAATAATTAAGCTATACAAAAGAAGATACATATGTTTATACCTACCCGGATGCCATGGTTGTTCAGAATGAGGTTTTGGAAAGTGTGTGTGTATATATATATGTAAAGGAATATATATGTACTTGATTGTTGTGGGTGTTGACTAGTGGACGTTAGGAGTAGGAAACTTTTTAAGTCTGAAATTGTTGTTCATGAGGAGTTTAAGCCGTGGGGTCTAAGGGAAGGATGACTAAAATATAATTATTATGTCTATATATATATCCATATATGTTTGTTTTATGTAAATTGTTGCTGTCAAGAGAGGCTGAATTGGTTCATTATATATTAAAATAATGAGGTTGGTTAGATGTATTTGAGTTTCTGGTTTATGACTCTCAAAGCAAGAATTTATATTTATGAAAGAGTGAGTTGAGCTTCTAAACATGGGAATTGAAATTTTGGGATGTTAGGAAGAACTTAAAGTGATTAAGTTTTGAATTAAGTGATGTTTAAGGATTGTTGAATTAAACAAAATGAATTTGGGCGTTAAATGAGGATTTTAAAAGTGCGTATATATATTAGCTTTGACCAAGATGACCAGTTACTAAGTAAAGTAATACTATGGGTTGAGATAAAGAAGGAAGCGTTTCAAAGAGAATAGTTTAAATAAGAAAAATTGTCCAGGATAACCAACCATTACGTAAGGGTAGAGATTAAAAAAGATTTAGGATTTAAAGAGTTGTTTAATTTATGAATTATAGTTGGATCAAATATTGATTTACCCTTACGAATATTATAGGTTTTGATATCTGCTTAAACTCACAAAGGAAACAAATGAAGAAGAAATTTGTAAGGTTTGGTTTGGAGGAAAGCTGACCAGGTAGTAGTTTTTTCCTACCTTACACTTGTGTATGATTGTTGCATGTCCATTTGTGCCATATTGCTGTTTAAAGCATGAGAACATGTAATCCTTAATTCCTTGCATAGATTATTTAGCCGTGATCATGTGTAGCTGATAGACATGGGGCAGTGTCTGGCAATTATTTGCACATTATTTATTCGGCTTGTCTATATGTCATTGCGCATAAATGCTTAACTACATTAGCTTGCAAGGTTATGTTTCACTTTGACTTGTTTTGCATGCTTTATGTAATCTGTACATTTGTTTGATGGAAATTACTACTACGAAGATTCTTTAGAATCTCACCCTCCCATTCATGATGAAAAGTGAAGGCTAGTAGCTCAAAGGATAAGGAGATGTTTAAGAAGAAGGTGAGCTGGTTGAAGAGCAGAGATGCCTGCTATATTTTGTACTTATAAAGTAGAATATTTTGATGAGTTAATATTTATACTATTGTATATGTCATATGGGCAAGTAACTTTACTTGCTTTATGTAAATATTATTTTGCACCCTTCATAAGGAGGAGAGTGTCACACCTTCATTTTAAACCCCATTATACGTCCTTTAGAACCATTTGGAATTGTTACACGATGCTCAAAGTAGGTAAAAACCAAGATTTAAAATTTTGATTTTGGTTACTGTTCATGTAACCCTTAAAAGAAATCAGGTCAACTTTGAAAAATCATAATTAAATGTAGAAAAATCAGAATAGAGTGGTTCCAAGTCTCACGTGAAGCTTATGAAATGTTCCACATAGGAAAAATGTTCACAGGTATCAATTTCTCACAGATCAATACTAGTTTCCACGCAATTATGTACTGTTCATTTGGTAAATTCTGAAATTTCCAGTATTTTTATCCAACTTCGAAAGGGCATAACTCTTTCTACAAAATTCCAAATTTAATGATCTACCACTTGATTTAAAGCTAAAAATGTGATCTATTAGTCTACCAAATTTCAAATCCAGATTCAAATTTGCTATTTATTTCGTATGCACCAAGTTTGGTCCTTTTTAGTCAAAGGTTATCCCCTAATTACCTTTGTTTTGACTCTTTCATAACCTTTTACCCATCCTTAATCATTTGGGCTTAATACAAGCTTGAACATATATTCTACTATGCTTTCATATATTTAAACATAGACATACATGCTTGGCTCCTCTTAGGAGCTATTATCCAACAAACATTTTCAGCGTCATAATATTACATAACAAGTTTCAAAATTTACACTAGGGTACACTAATTGTTCATTGGGTCTCCAAGACAATTTCCTTGCCTTTTCCCTTGCTTGAACCCCCTCATAGGTGGTGTTAAACATAAGAGGGAGATTTCAAAGAAATCCCAGTAGCACAGAATCACAATTATCATGCATTCCTGCAAACACTACGTGCAATGCTTTTGTGCATTTATCTTGTTTATATGTTCATGCTTTTATGCCATGGAAAGTAACCTATCATACACATATTCAATGGACATAATGCCAAGGCAACATACTTCAAACATTGCAATCAACATTTGCAATAAAGCTTAGTCACATCATGGCACACATTGCACACATACACATTAACACATCAATGTAAGCAAGAAAGCAATCAAATGTAATTCAATGCTACCTTTTGGTACTTGGTCCTTGATTTTCTTTAAGTTCAAGATGTTTTCTTGAGGATTTGGCAAGGTACCTATCAAACCAACACCAATGCCAATCATTCAACAATTATTCAAACACATTCCCTATTACTTAAACATTAAACCCTTTTTCTTAGGATTTTTTTTTGGCCTAATTGTTTTCCTTTTGATTCAAGAAACTTCCTTGGCCATTCCTACATGGTTTTTCATGTAGAATTCAAATATCAAATCAAATTATACAAAATCAAATCCCTTCCTTAAGTTCTAGTTAAAACAGAAACGAATTTTTTCCAAGGAAAATGTCAAAATTTTCAACTTTGATTTCTAATGCTTCCAAATTCAATTCCTCCATATAACCCTACACAAAAATGCCCAAGGAGTTCAATGTAAGCATCAAAACCATCAAAATCCAATCATAAGTCCATATATTCAAGATGGCTGAACACTTCCTCTTAGGTTCATAAATTTTCATATTTGATTCCAATGAATTTGAACATACTTCCTTAGCATAATCCTACATACCATCACATTTTAAATCCATTGGGACCATTAAAACTTATTGAAACAATTCCTACCCTTGAGTTCTTGAGTTGGCTGAACTGAAAAGTCCTAGTTCATAGGGTAATTTCTTCCATAACCCATTCAAAACTGCACCAAACATCAACAACACAACTCATACTCAATTTGCTATCCTTTCCTAGCACTTCCAACACAACAGAAATGAAACAGCACTTCCCCCTCAAATTAAGTCACGTTTTGACCATTTCTCGATTTGTGCGTTTTGCTATCCTTGCGCACGGGCCATGCTAATCTTCTCTGTATCGTTCCAATTTTAACGGATGTTACAGAGAGCGCCGCCTGGTACAAGTATGCGCTCTCAACCAAAATGGTTGCTATATTTTTAATATAATATTATGAGATTTCATAGTATGAAATCATACTAGGTGATAATAGATTAAGTTGATTGTGGATCACTCATCAATTATTCTAAAGGTTTAAAATGTTTGATTGACAGATTCTAAAGGAAAAAAAAACTTTCTTGTTTTTTCCCAGGTCGGAAACTAGCATTTGTGGTTCACATGCATTATCATGACTCTATTGGTATATAAAAGTTAGGTGTTGCATTATTTAAGTGTCTTTTTAAAGATTCCACTTAATAACTAACTAAGCAAATTGCATCGATTAAAATATTAGCTAAAATATAGAGAAAATTACACACAGATTGTAACACCTCATGTTTAAATCAATTAACTTTCCTTGCGGAAGCATTTGGAATCACTTTTGAAGGCTACAATTGATGAAAAATCAAGTTTGAAAATTTTCATTTACGGGTTACTATTCATTGTCACCTTAAAATGTGACAAACTTCGAAAATTCATAACTAATTGTAGAAAAATTGAAATTGAGTGATTCCAAGTTCTACAAAAAGCTCTTTGGATAAAATTTTGAGGAAAAATAGTTTCTGAACTGATTGCCTTGAAATTCGAGCTCAATTTCATTTGAAAAAGTTACTGTTCATTTGGTCATTTTCGGATTTTACTGTATTTTTGCCTAACTTTAGAAAGGCATAACTTTCTGCTCGATTATCAGAATCAGGCAAACTGCCCCTCATTTTAAAGAGAAACATCAGATCTCTTTGTTTGCCAAATCTTATGACCTAACTCACTCGTTTGATAGGTCAAACTGGAGCTACAAACTCGCTGCTCCAGGACTTACGTTTTATCCCTTAACATCTATTTAATTCTTTTTATTTCTTTGACATAGATAACTTGGGATTACTCTTTCTCATTCATTCTCATACATTTCTATTTATGCCATAAACATTATAGTTAAATACATGGCATCATTGACATCCATAACATAGTTCACAAAATAGTAGAATTATACATTTATCAACAGTCTCATCCATTAACAAGAATAATTCTCCGCTTACTTCTCCTTGCTTCTCATGCCATTATTGCCCATCATTGATTGACTAAATGGTTGGTTAGGGAGGGGTGAGATTCGGGGAATCTCAGTAGCAAACACTACCCATAAGCATGCAAGACATAATGCACATGCATGACATGTTATAACATTAACACATGAATGCCATAGAAAGTAAGCTAAAGCATTTCATGCTTCCATAACATATTGCCAAGGCAAAACATAACATAAACTTGCAAACATAACTTTGCAAACATTTCATCATAGCTTAGTCACATCATGGCAACACAACCACATCATGCAAGCATACATATCACGCACACAGTAAAGTTCACTACCTTGTAACATGGCTTTCCCCTCGCTTTTCCTTTGATTCCCTTGTCTTTCCAACCATGTGGACATTCGGTCAACATCACCAAACATCCTCTTGGATGTTCCAAAGATCCTAAACATAGTCATAATGATCATACAATCTATTAGAACCACTAGGTTACATAAAGTTCAAGACTAGCTCTCTTGAACCTCAACCCTTTCTCTTCCTTTTAGGGTTTTCTTTCTAGCTTTTCTAACATAAATCTCATCATTTTCTATCCTTAAGATCCATTTCTTATCAATTATGACCACTTTAGATGGCCTTAGATTCAAGAATACCAAATCTGGAAATTTTGCTTCGCGGGTACTGTTCATGCAGAGTTTCCAGAATTTTTGCTCAACTTTGAAAATTCATAATTAATTCTAGAAAAATCCAAATTGAGTGGTTCCAAGTCTCACTGAAAGCTCCTTAAGTTAAATTTACATGAAAATTAGTTTCAGGAACCAAATACACGCTGAACAGCACCGGAATTGTACGGAACTCGAAACTCTTCCAAAAGTTCAATACTGTTTCCAGATTTCAAACCCTAACTTTGAAAAATCACCATAAATCGTACACATATCCAAATAAAGTGTTCTACCCATGTATTTAAAGCTCATAGAGTGTACTTTAAGCATAAAAATTTCAGAATCAGATACGCACAGTAACTAATCCGAAATAGGCATAAAATCAGGTGCTATAACCATCACATACCTTGTTTTAGAGTTTGATCTGGCTTGGAACCACTTGGCCTTTCTTTCTCCCTCTTCTTTCTCTCTCTAGAAACCATTTTGCAAGAGCTTCCCCATGGATTCCTTATGCTTGGATGAAATGGTAGGGAGGGGAGGGGGTATTTATAGAAAAACAGACTGAATCTGGACGGTTGATCTTAAAAATACATGGCTTGATCTGGACCGTCCATTTTCTCTTTTGATCTTACGGTGACAAGTGTCCTATGACATCATGGTTACCTCATCATGATGACATCATGCTTACATCATCAAGCCACATGTCTTTAATCCAACCGCACATGTGTCTTGCATCCGACCGTACATGTGTCTTCCATCTAGTCGTACACGTAATATTTTCTTTTTCTTATCTAACCGTACACTTGTCACTTTCATGTCCTTTCATCATTTATGGCATTAAAATAGGGAGAAAATAAATGGAAAATTCGTGCAAAAATATTTTCTTAATTATTTCTCCACCTATCAAGCCAATCTTGCACCATATCAGATACTTTTCGAGTCTTGAATTACCCTGTACCGTTGGGACAACTTCTTCTTAAAATTCTGGCCAATAAAAGGTACACATATGGCGCCATCTTAGAGGAGCATAGATGAAAATGATTAGCTCTACTGACAGGCTACTTAACCTTACTGAGTCATGCAGTAGAGATTTCACTATAACAGGTAGACAAAAGACTGTCTAAAATATTCCCGTACTGCGTTCTGATTTTTATGCTGTCCATAAATATCTTCTGGTGACTCAGCATGATGACTCGTAGGTGTCATGATTATGCTTGATGACTCAGCACGCTCGCATCGTCATGATGGCTCTTAGATATTTTCTTTGGTTTTTCTCCTATTTAGGGGACAAAATTATTTAATATTTGACTGGAGCATTTTATTCAATCCAGAGCTCCAAAAATTCATCCAAAAATATCATAAAATTCCTCATATTCTAAAGAAAATATGTGAATTTTCTCAGGTCATAACTCAACCTGTAGCCCCACTTAAAAATCATTCTTTAAAATGCCCTTTGTCGGCACAACTGGCTTTTAAGTATTTTTAAAGCCATTTTGCTGGTCTTCTGGGGATGAGACTAATTTTATAATTTTCTATAGTCTCTTAGATCATACATCCCCATTTTACCATAATTTTCTAAGGTTTCCTTATGACTCAAACAATTAAATCTACCTCTACATCTCAAATTGAGCCATAAACTTATAAATTCCTTTTAAGTTACCTCAGGGGTATTTTCGTCATCTCTCTTCACAAAAGAGCCTTAGAATATTATTTCCCATTTTCTGGGATTTTCCTAGAATTTTCTAAGTACTTTCTATTTTTACCCCTGATGGCCGTAACTTTCTGAATTTATGGTTTTACCCCTGCTTAGGCTCAACCTCATAAAAACATCTCTTTGAGGCTTCTAACTTAACCTTTGGTCTGTATCTAGCCTCTTTTTCTATTTCTGGGCCTTTGAGACTTTACTGGAGTCTCTAACTTTGATTACCCTTTAGCCCCTTAAAACTTTCACTTTGCAGTTTAGTCCTTGAAACTACTTTAACTTCCTTTCTCATCTTTAAAACCTCTACTAAAAAGGGGTCTGGTAGCCTATCTCATTCAGGCTATTTCTGATACTTTTAGGCCCAAAAATCGAAATGTTACACAAATCCCAAACAACACAATTTATTAATCTAAGGTCCCTAAAAATCTCAGAATGAATAGGAGGTCCCATAGGACCAGAGAGTAATATGTTTTAAATAAGAAATTACATCATTGTCTCTGTCTCAATTGACAAGCTTATAAGCATAGATTAACAAGTTAATGGGAAGCTATTGATAAGTTAAGGAGTGTTATTTATAACTAAATGTATGGAATATATGATCAAATTATAACAAAAGAGTATTATATAATAATCTTTGAGTTGAAATTGTAAAACCTTAATTTATCACCCATTTTTACCTCAAGTGGAAGCAATTGGAATGACTTAATAAGTCTTTAAGTTGAAAAAATTAAAATTTTTGAACAAACTTTCTTGGGTTACTATTCATTGTAACCCTGAAAATAGTTAACTTTGAAAAATCATAACTAATTCTAGAAAAGTTGAAATGAGATAGTTCCAAGTTTTACTTGAATCTTACAAAGAGATCTTTAAGGGAAAATTCTTACAAGATTAATTCAACTCATTATACCTAGTTTTCACGTCAATATACACTGTTTATATAGTCAATTTTTCAGAATTTATACCTAACTTTAGATAGGTATAACTTTTTATACAGAACTCCAATTTTAATGAATTACCACTCATTTTAAAGATTAAAATGAGATATATTGATCTGTCAAATTTCATGATCAAATCCTTCTACTTGCTTAGAATCACATGAAGTTAAACTTTGGTCCATTTTAGGTTAAATTCATACCTTTAAAAGGTCAACTTGTTATAATTTCACCATACCAATTCAAGCATGCTTCTACCATAATCCACACTAAATAAAAATAATTCTCCACATATGTTACATACAATAAAATAGTCATCAAATCATCAAAGTCATAACCATTACAACATAATAACATAAAGTTCACAAAATTCCACATAATCATTACAGCCTCTAATAGTGTTAAATTGAGCATTAAAAAAAAGTGAAATTTTATGAAAATCCCAATAGCAAAGAACCACAATTACAATGTCAACCAAGCAAGGCATGTCATATGTGGTTTCACAAGATATCAGTCAATATTCATGCCATAGAAAGGGAGCATTATACCATTCCAATAATCAATCCAACAATGCATATAGCCGAGGCATAAAATGCAAGGAATTAAGCATATTACCATCTATCACACTCTACAATA